TGCGCCCCTTTTCTTCTTCGCGTTAATTCATTTTTCTTTCAAATTGGCCACGAAGCCCAGGAAGCGTTTTATATAAATTTTCTGCGAGCCATATACCTTCCCGGTGCCCACTCGTGAACACTCAATAGACATAGACATGTCGTAAAACCTTTCGCGTCTGCCTGACCGCCCAAAGTCCCGTTACGAGCGGGCTACCCTTGGGCCTCACTCCCCGGCCATCGCGACATACCACCACCCTGCCAACTTGAAAATTCCAGAGTGGGCGGCATGCTCGCGGGCCAGAGAGGACCTGGCCCATTGGGGTAGACCCGTTCCCATTGGCGGAGACCACCACCTTGTACCCATACACCTTTTATAAATAAGCGCACCAACGCGGCGCACATCAGATCAAAAAGGGAAAATAGACAAACACCACATAAACTACCACTCTTCAAAATAAAGTCTTTTAACATAATAAAATACGTGCAACCTCTGAGTCACCACGACTTCATACCAGCAAACAACCCGCACCACGAACCAGCGACAATCCTGCGCCACCACTCGAGAACATACCGCTTGTTCGAAGCGCACGACGCAACAGATTATCCAAAGATCTTTGAACATCACTGTGTGTCTGATGTATGATCAATTTTGACTTTGGCTTCTTTAACCCTTTGACTACTTTTGACGAATTAGACTCGTCACGTATTTCTTCTTTTCAGCGTGTTGATATTTAAATTCTCTTATTTTTACTTCTTTACCTTTTTACTAGGTATACTTCAATTTTTGTTATTATATATAGCGTGGGATACGTGAAACAGATGGGCCTAATTATCTTCTCTAGCTAAGGTAGTACGAGAAAATTTTCATATGTGATTTAAATGGCTTCAAAGTGTAAATAAGGCGAGAGAAAAATTTTTTTATAAACTCCATTTTTTCTGTTTTTCTTCAAGGTCGCCTATGTTTTTTTCCGTGAATGTAGGTACCTACACTACCGGCCAAAAGTTTGGAATCACTGTGCATTGCAAGTTACACAAAAATTCCCAGGAAAAAGTCAGCAGCTTTAAGAATTTTGTATCATTCAAATCAATCGGTATGAGATAAATTGCCATTTATCTCCACAATATCAATATCAAGTCTATGAAAAGTTAGTAGCAGATTCGGTACTGATGAAAACTGGAAGGTGATTCCAAATTTTTGGCCGGTAGTGTATATATTTTTTTCTACTGTATGTTGTAGCAGTCATTAATATGCATTTGAACATGCATAATAATATGACCTTGGTCTCTAAATTTTTAAATCAAATCTGAAACCTCCTTTCATTTTTTGCATCAACGAAATTTGTCTTTCATCTTATTCACCCTTTGAAATCATTTAAATTACGTATAAAAATTTTCTCGCACCGTCATAGTTAGAGAAGATAATTAGGTGGTTTTACGTGGCCCATTTTGTACATATATTTCTGATTACTTAGACATTCTTTTAGGGTTATTCGTCATTTTTCATTTTTTTTTCTATGCTTTTGTATACTAGATTCACTATTTAAATCACTTTCAGTCACATTCAATACTCCTTAATCGTCGGCCGACGAAGCTGGGTCATCTGCGACCCGTATTTGCGTGTGTAGAATGTTCATGGGATATACAAAGTAGGGTAAAAATTTTCTCCACCTGGAATATTTCCGTTATTTATAATAATATGGAAAAATGTTCCATACAAAACTTGCATGATATGGAGGAAGACATAATGCGATGTAAATGCTTTTTACGTGGATGGAAGCGTAGAAGAGATTTCAAGATCATCTCTATTTTGTTAGATGGGATGCTATATTTTTTTTATCGCTGTGTGATAGCCGCTTTTGTGTCGATTTCAGCATGCTATCATTAAGGGTCATTCAACCATTAATTAGTAACACCATTTTTTGTTTTTTTTTAAATTACTGAGAAATGTAGTTTAATGTAGTTAGATGAAAATCTGACGAAAAAAATTGTACAGACAAATCTTCTGATGGATCAGACGTGACCTGGCTTCGCTTTTCATCCGACGATTAATCTGTTTAATTTCAAGCTTCTCAAATACGCAACACAAATTGCCCACCATTCCATACAGTCTCGTTTTATTTTTCATTATACCAACCGTCCTTTATTTTCACCAATTCTCATCCTTTCAAACGCAGAATACAATTTTTCATCGTTCACATAATCTTCAATGGTACTGCTTCTCGTTTTCCCGAGTGTTCATTTGTTCTACCACTCGTCCCTTATGTCGTGCATACGTTTTATCAATCCGTATCACGTGTGAACCATTCTCTACTGAAAGTTCATATCTGTCGAGTGATAACGAGCAACCATGGAATCGATTTCAGGTGATGTGCGTCCAGTATTGGCCAGCGAGTAAAGAGAAGGACGAAGAATACGGTGGTATCGGCGTTTCCGTGCTGAAGGAAGAGGAGCTCGCCAATTTTCACATACGGACGATAAGGCTTTATAAGAAAAACGAGAACGACGTGAGTGTGCTTCCCCTTTATACATACGCTATTCTGAGATTAATACGCTACACGTGAAGCATTGATAACGAGGAAGGCAAACGTACAGCCTTGGCCTTTTATTAGTATTAGGCACCTTTGTTATTACAATTTATTGTGAAAACTGTTTGTTTGAAACCTTTCTATTGTTCATCATCCCTTACCGGCCAATTTAAAGGAATTTTAAAACAGTTGACAAGATTCATAGTGAGCCATAAAACAGCTGAGCAATCCATGCTCTATATTTTGCATTTCTTCCTAAAAGTCATAGTTTGCTGCTAGCCACATCAGCTTGCCTTTAATTCTGCTGTTAATATTCTGAAAGTCTTCCTTGAAATATGCTAAAAAGAAGTGAACTGAGCGACCATCGACGCAAGTTAATTCTTTTTCTTTTTAAACAGGGTAAAAGCCAGGAAGGAATTAATTGTCAAATGTTGACAAAGGATGGCCCAATAAAATATGAACAAAATTAATAAAAAAAAAGATTGTTTTCACATTTCAATAGTTTCACTTTTTCCTAATACAGAAATATTTTTAAATAATTCATATTTCATGGGGTGCCTGATACTTTTGGCCAAGGCTCTATATTTGCTGCTTTTCTATCATACATTGTTTCGTAGTCTTATTTCAAATACACTCTCTCGTTCGTAAGTATGGAGTCATTTACTAATTATGAAGCAAATTAAAGTCGTTAAAAAATTATTGATTCTATAATGGCATACTGTTTGTTTATTTTTATTTTTTTTTTTTTTTGTGGACTATCAAACATGGGATCTTTCCGATTCAGCACGACTTTTACAGGTTTGAAGCTTAAATAGTTCTCCATGAATTAATTGCAATTATTTTGCAAAACTGCGAAAATCTGAATATTTCCTAAAAATATGATAAAAAAAAAATTCGAAAACCTTGTATGCTTTCGCCAATTCATATATTTTCCATTTCTACAGAATCTTAATTCTTTATATAATTCCAAACTTATTCATTTCTGATTTTTGTTTTTTCATTTAGGTGGTCCCATTTAGCTGAGCCACCCTGTATAGGGAAATGCGGGGTAAGACGGGAACGCTAAGGAGAAGCGTAAATAAAAACAAATATATTATTCATATAACATGTAGTAAAGCGTTCCTAGATTCAACATACAGTCATCTTTAAATTTGAGCAACAAAAACCTTAAAAACTTAAATAGACCTTATTTTCTTAAACATTCATTTTTCCTATCTTGCACTTTATATGGGGTGTTCCGTCGCGCAGGTACGGAACACGTGGGGTCTTCGTTGACTGGGTTTGTTATTTTTGAGAACAAAGACGCTTCGTAGCTCCGCGAAAAAGTAAGTAATTTCTTACAAAACAGTAGCTTTAGAATTTCGACTTTTCCGCGTCCTCAATAGCCGAAGACGTGTCATAAACCAGGGTTCCTGGGTCAATCCACACGTGCGTATAACGGCACTCTCGGCTGAGGGTTGATCTGGCGGGAATTTCCGAGGCGTCACCGAAGGATAGCGAAGGTCGCAATGGAAGGGTGGGTGACACTCAAGGGACACGTTGATTGGTAATTTGTACTTTCGTGAACCGGTTCTCGTTCGATCACCGAAGTCAAGATGCACTGGGCGGCGTTCCGTAAGAAGATAGGTGATCGCTCCACATCCGTCTCTGGAAAAGCCGTGCTGCTGGTTTTATCGGGCTGAAATTTCACACAGACGTTAGTTCCATCCTTACTAACGTCTAGAAATTGTAAAAGTCCAACAGCAAAAATCCTTACCGCCAAGTTGGGGTTCAAGCATGGTCGGGCGTCCTCGCTCATTCTCCGGCTTGTTCTTCGGTTGGTGGTTTCGATGGAAAGTAGAAACCTGGTCTGATAGGGGTATAAGCTACAAAGCTGAGGCACCCTGAGTCCTTCTAAGGACGACCCACACTAGTTGTACTTTCGTGAAAAACCAATCAGCGTGCCTTCTTGCACTTGGCGGGGGAGTCACTGCGGACTCCAGAAAAATCGGCGATCGACACCTTCATTAAGAAAGACTCTCAAGCGATCAACAGATACATCCACGCTTTCGAGTACAATTATCCATCTCCAGCGATCGAGGAGAAACTTTAGAGCAGACATTAGAATCAACGTATCGAGATTACTTTCATTTTACGCTCGACCAAACGTTCTACTACGTTCGAGTAGAACAGATATATAACTAATTACCTAAGATTAAGTTGGCGGGTAATAGTATTCGCGAGTGCATTCATTCGGTACACGACGTGCAACAAAAATACGACGACAGTGATCCTTCGAACCGGAGCTCAGCCGAAACATGGGGTAAGATGGAACTTGTATCGGAGCAAGATGAGGTAATCAGGGACAAAATGAAATATTTACGATTATTGGTACATTTCACAAACCGGCCTTTTTAAAATTTTTTTTACATGGGGGAAATCTTGCATAGACACCCCTCTCCTGGGAGGGATTTCGCGCCAAAGGCAAATACAAGTTAGTTTCTTGTTTACAAGCAAGTAGAAAAGACGTTACTCAAAATAATTTTCCTATAATGGAAAATATTTGCATCTGATTATATTTGTTTAATTATTGACAAATGAATGTAAATTATTTTTCTTCGTAGTAATAGTAAATGTTATGTTTCTAAATAAAATAAAGCAAACATTATTTATTCACTACTTCCTCTGTTAAAATTATATAACGCAAAATAAATTCTAATGAGGCGTACGGAAATTTTTTTTGACTGATAGGGGAACATCCTGAAGTGATAATCACCGATTTTGATGAATCTTTAGTATATAGTAGTTCTGAAAAAAATATTCGATACGTATTTTTTTATATCGGCAGTTGTACACAGTGAAGGGGTGGAAATCGCCATCAAAGTTGGAGATAGTAAATATATTTACAATTAGTTTAATAACAAATAGGTGCTATTGGAGATAGAAGAATAGTGTAAACTGACGAATTTTGTATATTTCAACAGCAAATTTGAAAAATAATAAGTAATAAAGAATTTTGACCAAATATGTTTATTATCTTCATCTTTGAGGGCGATTTTTACCCTTTAAATGTGGACGATTGTATCTGTTTAGTAACTGGGCCGAGTTATAACTCGGTTGCTATTGAAGACAGAAAAAAATTGTAGAGGAACAACTGAACAATGTGATGAAAAGTGTAAAAAAACAGGTAAGCAAATATTTAGAATGCAATAGTGGAACATTTGAACATTTACTGTAGATGCTGGAAAAAGAGGTAAATATTTCGAAAAGTATTAAGTTTTCGCGATTATACCCTACTATTTTTTTATTCAGAATAGCACTAGGAATCGATTCATGCAAAAAAAAAAATCATAGAATAGTAGTCTCAGACGAGTGCAATTGCACTTTGCAGCTGCACCGATGCACTTCCGTAAAAAGCCACATTACAGGATGATACAATTTGTTGAACCATGCAAAACTTTCCTCTGAAATCTTCAATAACAACCAAGTTATAACTCGGCCCAGTTACTACATACGCCCTGCATATCAAAGTTTCATCAATATCAGTGATTATCACTTCGGGATGTTCCCTAGTGAGTGTCTAACGCCAAACATATTTATTTCTTTACGAGTTTCATATTTCTCTCCAATTCTTGTATCTTCCATTTCTCTGAAATCTTGCTCTAAACAAATTCCAAAACGTTCGAAATCTCACTGAAATACGTTTCTTTGATAACCGTCGACGCGAATTACGCTCTGTACAGTGCACAAGGTTAGAGGAGTCAAATAATCTCCGATACAGTAATGAAGTCTCGGCTGGTAGGAGGTCGCGCAAACTCGAAACTTATCTCGAACTGAAAACTAGAGTACGCGAGCTTCTCGATTCGCTAGACGAGGAAGGACCGGGATGGAAGTTGGTAAAAAGTTGCCGGAATTAACTATTCGAAGGAATCGTGAAACGAGGGTTCGTCCATCCCCCGAAACTGGGTGAATGTAAAACGATACGAACAGAGAAACGGGAACCGTGAAGGGAGAATGATAAGTTTTCTCAAACGACTGTTACGGAAGGCTTAATTTTATTAACCCACCGGAAATGGAAGGAAAACAGGAGGAGATCCGCCGAATTTCCAGCGACACTTCCTCTGTTCCCTTGTATATTGCTTGCTTTGCATAATTTCTCGTTAAACGTTTCCTGCTCAATGTTTGAAAGAAGCAATTGGAGTTTCGAATTCTCTAATGATAGTCTTCTAACCCCTTGGAATGGAAATGACAAATTTCGCCCGCATCATTTCTTTGCGCCAAACTCCAAACATTCAACCCTTGTACAAAGTTTATAAAGTTACACGAATAAGTAAATTTGGATGAAATTGACCCAATATCATACATGTACAAGAAATGAGTATAAAGAAATAAAACTCAGTTCATTTACATAATTATTAGAGAGCTTAATATTGTAATGACTTATTAAACTTGTACAATATAATTTTAATATTGTAGGAACCGACGACGGAAAAATATTGAGGAACCCAACGGGAATCGAACCCGGGGCCTTCGGCTTACCACGCCGAGACTTTGCGCGCTACGCCAACCACTCCCTCTCTATTGTCCCTTGTCGGTTTCCTATTTGGGTATGGAGGCCCCGATACTACACTCGGCCATCCTGAACTGACAACATTCGCCCTCGAATCTCCTAAGAGTACAACACCTTGACAAACTCAACACTTTCGGGTACACACTCCCCACACAGTGGCACTCTCAGCCGAAACTCTGTTTCTCAAAACTCTTTTGGGAGACGTGCACCCCCCTCTCACATGTCTTCATCTCACAGGCGCCTAGCTTCGTGTAGCCGTAGATACCTCCATCCCGGCTGAGCCCTCATTTGTAGGAACCTAGGGAAAAATATTGAGGGACCCAACGGGAATCGAACCCGGGACCTTCGGGTTAGCAAGCCGAGGAACACTTTCGGGTACACTCCCCCAGACAGTGTCACACAGCCGAAACAACGCATTTTTGGGAGACGTGCAACCCTCGACATGTTTTCATCGCACATCTCGTGACTTCGTGTACCGCGTAGATGCCCTGCATCCCGGACGGGCCCCCATTTGTAGGAACCGACGACGGAAAAATATCGAAGGACCCCAACGGGAATCGAACCCGGGACCTTCGGCTTACCAAGCCGAGACTTTGCGCGCTACGCCAACCACTCCCTCTCTATTGTCCCTTGTCGGTTTCCTATTTGGGTATGGAGGCCCCGATACTACAATATTATATTGAAATTACATGAAATATTGTCGCTTATCTTGTCAGGCCTGGGCGAGGCGATAAAATGTTTTCTTTTCGTTTTTGGCCACTTCGAGGTATTGCACGAACACGCCATAATATAGAGTTGTCTCTTGATTTATAACGTCTAAAATTACTATGTTCAATTCCTATGCGTTCGTCTAAAGAATGACTGTCTAGACTTTCTTCAGAAGCTTCTATTTCTATTATACAGTCTTCTTCTACATCAGTCACATCGTTAAAAATATCTTCACCGTACTATAAATATTGGTGTTTATCGAATTACAAGTACTACTAGAAATAAAAATAAGTGTTGCAAATACATACTGTTTGCTGCCACGTCATCGTAGAAAATCAAAATATGTTTTGTAGCTATTTCGAATGTAAAAAATAACGTGTTGCACCAGTCTTTAGAATACTCGAACTGTACTCACGATGATTATTACGAAAAACAAAAGAGCATATAGCGTTTGTGACAAAAGTATACGTAACAGAAGAAACAAAACAAAAGATGATCAGTCTCGCAATCACCAAAGTCACTTATTACATAATTGGATCAAATTGTCCCATAAACTCCACAAGTGAGCATGAGAAATATTCTCCATTAAAATAATTGTACAAATTTTGTTCCTTTTTATAAAGATTATTGACGTTTATTTAAGGATATGAAAAAGTTTCAGTTCAAATGATAGGTACATTTAAGAATAGAGGAAAAAGAATTTTTGACTTGATTACGAGTTAAATTGGCCCAATTTCCGTACAAAGGTTAAATAAAACGATTAGAATTCGTTTTAAAACGAATAAAAATTCCAATAAATACCCTCGAAAATTGCTATGAAATTCTCACGAAATCAAGTTAGCACGTGAACGCATAAAGGCTCGTTAACGACGAGCGTTTAAGTTTCGTTGACGTGGCCTCTGTCGAAATATTAAAGCGTCCAGTCCTGGTGTATAACGTTTATCAGAGGACTCTTGTGAACGTAACACAATAATCGGCCGCGGGATTTACTGGCGCTAGAAAATTTAATACGCTACCGTGCAAGAGCCTCATTCTGTGAATAGCGAGCCGTGCATAATGCACGCGGAGCAAGGAACAGCCTAAACGGGACAAGATTGTCGACGAGCGGCATTATTGCACCCATTGTGCGTGATAATTCTCTGACGGGTATGATTCAACATGCGTTTGCAACAGTTGCGTGGAAGGACGAAGGAGCTTCCGAGCAGTTTGACTTGATTTTACGAAGTTAGCGTGTGAAGCTTTGAAATTCACTGTGATTGAAGTGGAAGGGAGAGAAGTTTGTACAGTTGAGATGTGCAGGGTGGTTCAGCTGGGGAGTAGAATGAAAAATTGAAAAAAAATTGGGATTGATGTGTGTTTGGAATTGTTTTTTACATTACAATGATTGGGGAAGAGGTGATTTCTTTTGAGAAACAGGGGATAGTATTCTAGAGGTAGAGTACTGGAGGCTTTGTTTTTGAGAAGGTTGGGAAATGTGAAGGAAAATTGAAGAGAGAAATCAAAATAGATTTCTTTTTGTAGTTGTTCTTTACATTTGGAAGATTATATTTAAAGAATAGAGAGAAATTTCATAGTTGGAATATTGGAGGCTTTGTTTTTGAGAAAATTGGAAAAGGTGAAGAAAAAATTGAAATGAAAAATCAAGGTAATTTTTAGTAATTATTCTTAATGTTTGGGTGATTAAGGTAAAGGTGATTTCTTTTGAAGAACACAAAAAGTATTCTAAAGGTGTAATATTGAAAGCTTTATTTTTTTAGAGAAACGGGAAAATTTAAAGAAAATTGAAAAAAGAAATTAAGATTAATTTTCCTTATGATTATGCGATTGAAGCATGCATTATTTTTTTCTGAATAGAACAGCGATATATAAAATTAGAATAGATTTTTAATTTGTGATAAAATTGAGAAAAATTAAGAAAAATTCTTTTTAAATAAGAATAAAAGTTAATTTTGTAATAATTCCTCAAAAATTCTTCTAAATAGTTAAGAAACATGATTTTAAGTGTACCTAATTAATAATTATAAATTAAGTGTATAAAAAAAATGTGTTGAAATAAATTACCAATTGCAAAATTAACATTTTAAATACGTTCTTTTAATTTTACATTGCTTATAAGAGACCGTTAATTCGAAATTCAATTCGTTTTTATTTGATAATTTATCGCGATGTTTCACGATGAGATCGGTAATCTCGCGAATTAGTAATTTTTGACGTGAATTTAAAGCCTCCATATGACAGAAACATGTTTTATTCATCAACTTGGCGGACTTGAATGTAACTTCTAGCAGAGAGTCGTTTAAAAGTCGAGTTACGAGAGTTAAACTGTCGGTGACATGTATGCATTACTTCAGTGGAAATGTCTCGAATTTATGACGCGAACTACAGCTGAACGTTTCAATCATGCGTTAAAAACTTCCTAGAAAAAATTCCCGATGTAGCTTCGCGAATAATTTTCACGTTGAAACATGATGAAACTCAAAAAGTATTACTAATATTTCATACGAAAGAGGGAAATGTATAAAATTTGTAATACTTCTAAAACATTAAAATTTTTAATTATAAAAAAATTTAATACTATGCCAGAATTACAGTCTAAACTAAAAACTTACCAGAAAAACTTGACACTAACTTAACTTACTTTTGATGGAGATAAGTGTCATAAGAAACTGTATTTATTTCTGTTTAGTTATTTACGAGTATAAACCCATTGTAGTACACAACACACGAGCCACTCAGAAGCCAAAGTGACTAACTCCATCAAACTGAGTTTATTCAATTTTTTTTATTTATGAAGAGTTAAGCACCAAGCATGTGCTTTGATACTAAAATTGGAGGAATTTAAAAAAAGTGCAGTTGATCATTTTGACTTCTATATGGCTCATATATCACAAATTGAAGAGAGAAAAATTACGAAACATAGAAAAGAAAATATCATAAAAAAACAATTGCAGCAAAAAAAATTCAAAATCTCTCCTTTCATACTGATCATTTCTAATCAATGACAAACCCAAACGATTCAAAACGAAAGAAAAGAGAAAGTAAGTGAAAAATAACTATTGTTCGGTTCCAGGAGGTTACAGAAGAAAGAACATTGTTACAGTTCCATTACACGGAATGGCACTCGCACACGTGTCCATTTGGAAACGCGGTCCTCGAGTTTCGTCGTCGAGTAAGAGCGGTGGTTGGTTCCACCATAAAGAACGAATCTGGACCCATGGTGGTGCATTGCAAGTAAGTGTTCACACGATCAATCTCGATGGTCCAATTTCTATGTTTAATTATTGTTTATTTATTGATTTCCATTAAGGGGTCATTTTAGCAATCACGTCGAAAATTTCGGCAATACAGTAAATTCTCTACAAGTGTCAGTCAGTTTGGATTCTACAAGTGTCAGTCAGTTTGGATTCTACAAGTGTCAGTATAGATGGTCCTAGACTGCGTCATTGTTGCGCCTATGTTATCTCGCTCGCTGTCAGTCAAACATGTAACGCTACGCCACTCGGTTTCTTTTACGAGATTTCACGGCTCTACAATTCATAATAGAAAAATATAATTTCTTTAATTTTATTTTTTTTTAAGTCGTGTTTGATGTCATTTTCATCAGAAAAATCTCATCAATATGTTAAGAAAAATTTCGGGATAAAAAAACGTAAAATTAAAAAAGTTGGTATTTAAATCGCTTGGTTGCCTCGACTCACGTTTCATCCTTATCTTTTATTCGCTGTCCTTGTCTACGTTCGGCAAACTACAAAGGCGGGCGCGAGGCTCGAAAACGTAGTCCCTGACTCTACAAGTGTCAGGTTTAGGTTCCTTGCGGACTGACACTTGTGGAGAATTTACTGTATTCCGGGTCTTTTATTTTGGAATATACAATGAATAACAATATCGAACCTTTTTCTCTCATTAAGATACTAACTAAGACACATAGCCTTTTTATTGTTTGTTTAATGCTGTATCTAGACGTGAAAATAGTGCCTGTAACCCTCGGATAACAGATGGTGTGATAATCGCACGCATGGTGGATACTGGGTCATATTTGACCCAGTACTAAAATCTTTCCCGTACGCGAACGAAACCACATTTTGTTATTTTTCTAGCCGTTACACTATTTAAAATTGTACAAATATATTATGATTAAAATAACAAACATATTTATAATATAAGGATGGTGTAGAGTCGTGTCTCTGCTTCGAATGCCAGTTGAAACAAAATATGTACGTACATCTAAACACCGTGGTACATCTAAACAAATCTCTAAAAGAGATACTTCGCTGGCGAAATTGATTTCAGCTCACAGATTCATCCGAAATAAAAAAATTAAAAAGATTGTTAATCAGTATAATTACCGCTATCGCGTGTACCAAAATTAGCCATATAAGGCAAATTATGAAAAGTATGAAATTTTCAACATAATGTAAATCTGGTACCTGCGAGAGCCAGCGGTATGCAGAATGACGTGTTGAAATTTCATTCCGATCAGTTGGTTAGTTTCCTTTATTTTACTTCCGCCATTTGAAAAGGAAACGTTTCGAGAAAAACACGTTTAAATAAGATTAATCGGTAATGCCGGCATATATTTATTCACTTGCGATACACCACTGCACTACACTGTTACGTTAAAAGGGGTTAACTGCTACATTACTTTAGATCAGAAGGGGATAGTACAATACGAACCTATTGCCGAAGCGGCGGAGGTGGTGTAGCTCACTGCAAAAGGCTGTAAAAGCCGAAATGCTCCGAATTTTGCTGCAAAAATTTAACAGTACATCGATGAAGATTCATACTTCCGAAATATGCAAAAAGATCGATTTTTGCAAAGCCTGATTACTAGAATGACCCCTTAATTGCAGGAATTATAATAAACGAAAAATAATTTAAAATCTCAATTTGTTAGAATATTTATCGGAGTTAATATTACATTTCTCTTCAATTTGGATGATTAAATGTTAAGAATACGCTGTTCTGTTGAATAAAGTGACGGTGGTGGAAGATCAGGCGTTTATTTAGCGATAGACGCGAATATGGAGCTAGCTGAAGAGGAAGACGCGTTCGACGTCTTTGGTTACTTGAAAAAGTTACGGCAAAGCAGAAGAGGACTTATCGAGAATTTGGTAAATTTAAAGAGCCGTTCCTCTCCTTATTAGTTTCGTTAAACGAGAATGGAATGCTGTTTAATGACATTAAACTTTATTTTCGAATAGTTGATTTAATCGTATTTCTTGTCGAAATGATAAATGTTGGATTTGTACGAACTACTGTGTTTGTTGTATAAAAGGCATTATATGATTGTTTTTGGTGTTTGTGTTGCTGGTGGAACTTTAGTTTTGTTTTTAGATTTTTAGACGTAGATATTGTAAGATTTATGATCAAATATTATACGATATCTTATTATAATTTTTATAAATACAATTTGTATTAGTATTCTATCTTCCTGCAAAAATTTAAATAAATATTCCAAAATTATTTTTTTTGTAAGATATACATTTCTTTAGAAACAAGAAAATAATTTACGATTTTACTTCTTACATTCCATTTCAATTTTGCACGAAAATAAGAGAATACTGATCAAATTTGCAAGAAACTATGAACTTTTTTCAACTCAAACTGACTATGAAACTTAAATTGCAAGCAAGTTAAATTTCCTCGACCGTAATACATTCATTTCTACTTTAATTTCATCTAAGGACAAGAAAAATTACACCATCTTCAGAACGCTATAAAATACTTTCCAACGATATAAACTAATTTCTAAAATATTTCATTCTTCACTCACATTCTAAAATTATTCGCGAACAATAATTTTGTAAATTTCACTTACTCCGCTAATCTTCAACTTGTACTATACCACTTACGTTCAATTGCTGGGACCTTGACAGCTACTGAGGTTGCCGTCGCTGATTTTTCCTCTCGAAGGATTAGTTTTCCAGTTATCTTTGGAAAACTGAACTCTCGCTGCAGTTTGTGTTTTTACTAATATATTCATAAACTTATCCTTCGATAACGAACTAAGTGAACCGTAGAAGTCTGAGCGTCTCTTCTTGGCCTCGAGTGCCTATTCGAATTAGCTTGCGTACTAAGTCGACTAAATAGTCTGATTACTAATTTTACTAATTATCGCCTAGCCTGATTGCTGGACACTTTAAATTGGCTAATCTGGCCAACTGATTGTAACTAACTCCTGACTGAGTGTTTATTTATCACTGACTGATTGTAACTCTGGCCACTGGCGACAGTCTTTCTTCTCATTGTTTACATGCACGCTGATTGGTCATTCCTAAGAATCTCTAATCGCCAATCAGTGCCTGAGGGACATCGCGATCACCCTTTCTTTTCCTCCCTTAGCGCGACTTCTCTTGGGAACAGATGTTCTGACGGTACCGAATTTCCTCCAGGTTTTGACCATTCGGTCTCCTGGCCGTTGCAACCAATTTCTAAATGACCCTAACGAAAGGCCGCTATTTATTGGATCATTATTTTAAAAAACTTTTCAAATGGTCAGTATTACATCGATTAATACAAAGGCTGTTGGTATTTTCATTAAGGTACTGGTAAACATAATAATTTGTCAGTATTTTAAATAGATGATCAGTGTGTATAATAAAATATCCCAACCTTACCAAAAATTTGAAATTTTATCGACCCAAAGACAAATTAATACCGACCATGTAAATAAAATTGTACTGACAAAATGCGATTTAATACTGACAATTAATTATTTACACTGACCAAAATATTCATTTTTACTGACTTCTTATTTAAAAAAAATACTGACCAAATAAATAACAGTGCTTTGGAAATTCCCATTTTATAACACGTTTTCAAGCTACTGAGGACGAGAGAAGTGAATTTCTAGAACCTCTAGGCCAGGGTTCTTCAACCTGGGTTCCGCACAAGGTTTTGTCATACGTGCCTTCTCCGCGGTTCAACAAAACCTCGAGAGATTTTTATTTTTTTATATAATAAATATAA